TGAAGTCTAGAAACATATATAAATTTGAAACCCGCGAAAAGTCTTTGGGTTGTCTCATTGTAGCAAATAGCATCTACAATTAGAAGTGATTGCTGAAAATCAATTTCAAAACGTCATCGAAATGTTATGCACGGTATGTTAGTTACGCAAGCCATGTGCAATCACTTCCAGGGCGCATTCTCACTCTTATAACACACTGCAAACACTACCAAACAGCGATGAACGATGATTCGCAACGGTAGCTCACGAGTCTTGCGATGCGATTATTGCCGGAAACAAATTATAGTGCGAGCGTGCAGTCAGGCCGATTTCCTGACAAGGAGTGAGCAGCACAATATGTATTATGAAACTAGGAGCGCCACCAGTTTATGTTCTTTACCAGTCGAATCGCCCAGCTGACGGAGGGCTCTTCTCCTTCTTGGGGATGGCGCGGCGTAGCCGAGCCACTACCCTTTTACAGGTTATACAAATCAACCTCTCGTGGTGACAACCTTGGGCACAAAAAACACTACATAGTCATTTTTTGGGATACTGATCACCAAAAATCCAGAAATAGTCGACGACTATGGAGTTATCGATGTGAAAAGTGGTGGTAGTGCAGCATAAGCACCACAAGACCGAGCTGGCAGGAAGAAGCAGAGCAATGACTGATGACTGCAGCATAAATGGACCTCTGGGTCAACCCAAAGAAAGAAGGGTACATATTCTACCGAGTGTGACAGGCTAACCCAAGCGTCCAATTCAGCGTTTCTAGGCATAGCGCGCGCTCCTGGAAGAAACCACCAGAACACGTAGAAGTATTCATGGGTTATATAACGGCTATTAAAGAGAAGAAGACGGCTTGCGGAATGTTTCACTTGGAATCTCCAGTTTTGTGTGTTATAAGAATGACGACATCACGTTGAGATAACCCTTCAACGCTGTTTGGACCTCAATCTTACCCCTTCACCTCTCCCCTGTGCCCTCCACTGCCGTGGCAGCTGTGGGATTGATTGAGAGTGCTTGATCAGTGTTGATATAGCCGGTGAAGGTGTGATATCAACGTCATGAACGTAGGCCTTCGAGCTCCCCGGTTCCTGTTAGCGGTTGCTTTACTCTATAGAAGCCTCCATGCAGACGAACAAAACGACATACGCACAGGCATACACATAGATACACACACCGACATAGCGACACACCGAAGTTGTGGTTATATGATCAAGTGATTTTAGCAGACCGAATACTTTGAGACCATTACCGCTTTCTCAATAAGAGGGAAGTGTGAGTAGATCAGAAGAGGAGATAGTAGACTGTGAAGGAAGATCGAGTGATCGCATCGTAGAGTTGAAAACAGATAGTCGATTGTGAAGAGAGCGAGCCATACAGGTTTTCGTACTCTCTCCGGACCATTTTTCTGAGTTCTCCCATTGTTTCTATACATTTGGCATTCATTAACGGTGACGTTCTGGACTGGATATTTAATGCAAGGGAATTATGTCGAAATACCACGCATATGAGCAAATATGAAATGTCAACACAAAACGTATCAAAGATTTTTTTGAAAGGGAAGGGATTGTAAAAAAAATATCGGTGCAGTCCGTTACATAACTAGCGCATGGAGTCGTCGACAGTAAGTAACGCGATGTATTTCGAAATCACCATCGAGAATATTGAAGGGGGGGCGGGATGTGGCAAAACGTAATTACTTGCAAACGAGAGATACGCATTACCGTAAACTTAGCTTAGGGAGCAAGGGGATCTTTGGTAAAGAAGAATCCGGAGCGCGTTTACAAGAAATCCACGCTGCACGGACTTTTGGAGAAACCCAACTGAAGAGTGAGAGGGAGGGACCAAGCTGGGTACCCGGCACCAAAGCTTATAAATGAATAAAGGCAAAGAATTTCCGCGTGATCTCTTTTACGGTGATGGCGGCCGTTTCACTCGGGAGCGTAATGGCAAAAACCATTCGACCAAGCAATGAAATGTGGGAGCCAGCAAATGTACCAGTCATTGTTTCTATCCCATCAGACTAGTCTAGCCGTAATCATACGCCCCTAAAAGATGGAAGATTCGGTTGCCTATGCAGGATTTCGAGTACTACTGCACTAATATAATCCCAAAGTCTCAAAGCTTCATTCTCCTGTAGATCTACCTGCAGAGAAAATTCAGCGCGCTGGTAGCGATCACATTATTCTTTGGCACTAGCGCCATTTGGTGCCACCTGTTTCAGCCAAATTAGCAGTAAACTTGCATACAGGAGTTCTTCACTACCCGATTATAACATTCTTCCTAGCGTCAATGCCTTTTGGTGGCATACTGGCGCATTTAGGCACAGTATTGGCGCCAAAAGACGCCTGCACCAAAAATGGATGCTTCTTACGTGATCAGCACACTTAAACACCGTATAAGTGAAGCAACCACGGAAAAACAACCATCTTTTGACCTATGAGGGGTTCCACTAGCATAGATGGTTGGGGTTGTAAAGTCGAAAGTACTAGATTTCGTCTGGGACCGACGGCGCAATGTGGCTCGAGGGGGCCAGTCGCCGCGCGCGATCTCTGCGTTTTTCTGTGTAAGCATTTCCTCTTCGCTAAATCGGGACTAAGCCTCGGGCAGGGGAGGAGGAACTCCAGGATCATAGCAATTTTCATCTTCCCAAAGTTCCTGCCCACTCCTAGGCTTAGTACTACAGGGCGCGGACGAGCAGAGATCGCGCGCGGCGACTGGCCCCCCTCGAGCCACATTGCGCCGTACCGACGAAATAATAAGATTCGTCCGAACGAGGAGCGAAACGAACCCTTTTCGCTGTTTCGCGTATAAAGATTTCGTCTTTCTTAATATGACTCCCATACTATGCGAGTGGCAGCGCTTGCCTCTGCACAACCTCTGCTCTGCCAAAAGGGGATTACCTATCAGCGAGATAGGAGGAACCAAGATAGAATTTAGGTGAAACTCGGGTTCGGGGGGCACGCGATGGCGCGGCGCTCTGTTCGTCTGCTCCTCCAAGGCTTAGTCCACAGGGACAGTTACTCTTTCGCCATTATGTGGCAGTTTCAAAATACGCGCCATCGGTGACTAAGCCGCCCCCTTCCCCCGAACCCGAGTTTCACCAGAATTTATGATGAGAAAGCAGGATCCAGAGGAAATACGGTGGTCTATTCGATCTAAAGCTCTAGCTCATTCCCATCATTTCAATGTTTACAACTGCGTAGCTTACAAAGGTATGTGGGGTCTATTCCAGTTAGGGGGGGCGTCATGAT